AGGTACATTCAAGTTGTCAGGTGCATTAAATGTGGATAGGAGAGGACATCTTAAGGTCCGAAAACAGATATCTTGTACAACGTGACTTATTAGACCCTTGTGATTTCGGCCATTGATTCATTTTTTATTCAAATGGTTCTAAATAGTTATGGCACACATAAATATCCTAAATATTTAGAACCATTTTGGATTAAGAAATGAATCAAGGGCCTAGATTGCAAGGGTCTAATAAGTTACGTTGTATGAGATACATTTTTTCAAACCCTAAAATGTCCTCTCACATCTACATTTAAATCACCTGACAACCTGAAACAAGACGACATGTCACCTTAAGTCATCTTCTTAGCGAGCTACGGATTGGGCTCGCACAAAGCACGTGGGGACTAGGTGATATAGATACGAAATATAGCCAACCAAAACCGCTCGATCTACCATCAGGTCTCCGCTAACCATATCTAACTCGACCCATTGCATGTACTAAGCTACCCAGATGACTACCAAAACCCTGTAAATACTCGGCCCATCGAACAACTTGAAGCACGATGACCAAAAACCTATGACCTGGGTTACCAAACGACCCATCGACCCAAAACCTATTATTTAACCATTTTTTATTAGATAAATTTGTTAATTCAAATTTAACTCAATCAAACTCTCATCAATATTATTAATATAATTAAATGATACAAATCAATCATCTTCACACATTACAACAACTTCAATTTAGTATTCATCAACTCACATAATTTTAATTCTCCATAATTTTTTTTACGACTGAGTGGTATCCCCACATTCATCCGGGGTCTCCAGGGGGTACGAATCTAACTGGTCTATTGCCTAAACGGGCTACGGGATCCACACTCAGAGAGACGGAACTAATCCACCCAAGAGAATAGGAGTGCCCCATCACCTACTCCCACGATAGTCAGGATCGAACTCATGACCTTTGGGTTCAACAAGCAAGGCCTTACCCTCCACCATCAGTCAGTTACCCTCACTCCCTCGGGGACTCTCCATCACTTTCAATTAACACTTTTTTACTTTTATACCAAATCAACTTTAATAATTATATTTTAAATATTATTTTAATACAAATTCAAAAATTTCACGCAAACATAACTCAACCAATTTTTTTTTTAAAATAATTATGGTTATTCAATTAAAATCAAAATAATTAATATGTAAGAACTTTTTATTTATTATTTTTCAATAGTATTTTTTATTATTGGTAAAATCAATATTAGACGTTAAAAACAAAGTGATGTACAGAAATGGAGGGAAAGTTGAAAAGACAGTAGGTAAAGACTACTGTAACGTGACTAGGCTAGGGCTTGCCTTTTGGGGTTTTGGACAGTGTGTGAGTGACCATTAAGCCCCTCGCATACACACCTCACTCACACAATGGGCGGTGCTGCTACGCATCCACCACTCAGACCACGCTCCAAGAAAAACTCTTCTTCCCACCACCACCTCCACGACGGCGACCACCGCGCTGGCGTCCACTCCGATCTTTTTCCAGTAGGCGCCTTAGTTGAAGTTCGAACACATGAGCCAGACTTCAAGGACACATACTTCTCCGCCACCGTGGTATCTTTAGGTGACAAAAGCTCGGGGGAAATCCAAGTGGAGTACCAAAATTTGCTTGTTCCAAGAGGCGGATCGAAGCTGCTGAGGGAGTACGTCGACGTCTCGTGCGTGAGGCCGTCGTCGCCGTTAGAGGAAGCTGTCGGGGGTTTTGGGCCTGGCGACGCCGTCGACGCGCTGTACAACGACGGCTGGTGGATCGGTGTCGTGACGCGAGTAGTGGAGGAAGGTGCGGAGAGTAGGTACACCGTGACGTTTCAGAACCCTCCCGACGTGCGCGAGTTTAGCTTGTCTGAACTTAGGGTTCACTGGGATTGGGTTAACGGGAGCTGGGTCAGACCCGACAGGCAGGTATAGAACATTTTTTCGAGCCGTAATTCAGGACTTTTTTTTTTGTTTTTTTACTTTTCTTTTCCATCTGATGATCTGAAGAGAACTTGATAATGATTGTGTCAAGCTTGGGTTGGTGTGTGATTTTGGGCATGTTCCTTTACGGGTACAAGCTAGTTACAGGTGCCTTATTTTGTTTGAGATAGATAGATTTCTAATGTTTTCATGTGATTCCATAATTTCTGGTGGATGGTTTGTGGCTTTGTAACTTGATATTTCGATAGATTTTGGAGCTTGATTTTGTACCCTCCCCACTTTGTAAAGATGGTCATAATTCTATTAGCACTTTAGCAGATATGTCCAGTGGTCAGATATGGTTTCTTGTTGCATATTGTGTGGTGTGGCAAATGATTTTTTATAGAAATGCTTTGATTGTAAAGCACACGTTAACTGGACTATGCAATGATTGAATTTTAGAAGATGCATGGAAACATTAGTCATCAATGCAATTACCTTATTGTTTTTGAATTTTGTGTAGAGTATAGCAGGGTGGATGTTTGACATGGAAAAAGAGGTAGAAGTGTCATTTGACCGAGAAGATGGCCAGGATGCTTGGTTCCCAGCAACAATTCACAAACAGCTGGGTGATGGAACATATCTGGTAAAGTATAATGACGAAACTAAAGATCTCGAGGCTCAGACTACCCAATTAATAGTTGATTCCCTCCATCTTAGGCCGCAGCCTCCACTTCTCAAGGATACAAATTTTGTTTTATTGGGAAAAGTTGATGCATACTTTGATTGTGGCTGGTGGAGTGGACTTATTCGGGCAAAGCTTGAGGATAGTATGTATCTTGTTACCTTTAAACAGTTGAATATGGAAAAGGAGTTCCATATGTCAAAATTAAGACCTCATATGGAATGGAAGGATGGCAAATGGATCACTTCTCCACAGGTTCTTTCTGATTACTCTAGGATTTCTTCACCTTTGATTTATGGTTAGACATTATATTTCTTTTCTATTTTTTCCTTATTGACATCCAGGGACAGATCTAGGAATTTATGTCAGTGGGGGAGCAAGTAAGAAAATAAAAATTCTAGAATCTTATAAGACTATACATAAAAACAACAATTTTGAAGTCCACGGGAGGCGACCACCGCCCTGTGCCCCCCAACCCCCTCACCCCTCAAATTCTTTTGTCCTCATCCCTTTTATAGTGGTTTATTCAAGATGTCTTTAAAAAGGGAGGGATATTTGTTATTTAACAAATTAGAGAGGCATAGAGTGAAGACTGTGTTAAAATTTATTTCGTTATGAATCCGTAGAAGTCTTATGATCAAGCAATGTGTGAGTCTGACTATCTGCTATGTGTGTGTGCACCCACCAGGGTATTGGTTTTCATTTCACTATGATCATAAAAAATTGGCTGTTTGTTCTGAATTTAGGATTTTATGTGGCCAGTTTTGATACCAGAAAGTTAAGTATCTTGTGTGTTATGTTGTTAGAAATAAGCCAAAGCACTGAGTCTTGACAATTATTCAGGATGTCAAGATCTCGTCTCCAGATGGTGGAACAGATGTACACCACACATCCAACAATCCTAGTACCTCTGTGCCAAATTTTCCAGTGAACAATTTTGGTGATAGAGAGAATGCTATTGGTAAAAAAAATTCCTCTTCGCTGACCTGTCAAGACAGTCAAGTGGAGCAATTAACACCTAATTTGAAGAAAACGCCTAATGTAACACCTCGGCCAAAAAGAATAAGGCGTTCATATGATTCCCAAAATGCCCTCTCTCAGTGCCAGAAGAAGCTCAAAGGAGGATCTGTACTTGTAGAGAAACAACAGGAGAAACATGATATAACTACTCAAGAAATGTTGAGCGATTCTGTTAGTCCAGTTTCAGCAAATAATGTGGAAATTCCTGGTAAACAAAGTGCAACAGGGGATCTCTCATCTGATAATCCTTCATGGGGGAAGAGAACTGTAAGTCACGCCTTCTACTCTTTGCTTGTTGTGTCTCATTGTTCTGTGTCTAATCAATTGATGAAAGTTCATTAGTTAAAATCACTGGTTGGTTCTCCATTTAATAATCAGTCACAACACGCTGTATATCAGTTAACCAAATTCAAGCGGGCATTGCAGGTTGTCTGTGTGGGCCATCAACAGTTAAGATTTTACTGTAATAAATGATGCACGAGTGGAAATTCTATACCACATGGCTGCATATCATGTTTATTGGAATGTAATATTTTATGGAGTTAACCTTTTAGCAACGTCAGTTTGGTAGAGCAATTGTTTACTGTTGGTGCCTTTATTCATAGAGTTCATAAATGTCATCTGTTTGGACTTTGGACTATGCACAAGCATCTTACTATGGCTTAGTCCTTTTATGCTTAGCGGATGAGTTTTTCATAAATATTCTCAGCCAACAAAAAATGTATCATTGAAAAATGTCGTGAAACAGTGATCTGGTTATACTTCTCTCTCGCTCCCTCTCTCTATCTCTCTCTCTTTTTGTTTGATTGCATATGTATTGACCAATTGATTTTTGCATTTGGATCTGGAAAATCATGAAGCGGAGAGGGAAAAGTCTTACACGCAAAATCAATTCCACACCACGTGATGTGAAGAATAGTGGTGCACGAACTAGCCAAGTTGAAAATCTGCAACCTGGTGCTGAGGGTATACCTTTTTTCTCGTATAACCATGTCTTTTTAAAACTGCCAGAATGTTTTTACATTTTGTTTAATTGGCAACATGAAAATTCATTTGCAGGAAAGAAGCCAGATGCCCTGGATAACACTGCAATAGATGCTCAAAATGGGCAGGTTGTTGTTATCGGTTTGCCATGCGGGCAAATGGTGATCTCTGGACCGGGAAAGTCAAGGGATAAGAGGAAACACAGTGCCAGCAGCAAGGAAATTATGAAGAACAAAGAGAAACAAAACTTACATGACGCCTTTACACAGGAAACTGAGGTACAGGAAAATGATGACGAGATAAATTATCTTTAACACTATACTTATTCAACTAGATCATTTTCAATTTTGAAACTTGTTAGTATATTCTGTGTCTTACTTATTTTTCTTTTTTCCATCCATAGGAAATTAAACTAATAGAACATGGAGAACTAAGTGAAAGGAGAAAGAGGGGGAGGCCACGAAAAAACCCATCTGAAAGTGATCAGACTCCAGTTGCAGGTTCCTTTTGGCTTATGTTCTTTTCAATTTGTGCTGGATTAGTTGTATATTATTAATTTTTTAATGTTAAACGAAAATCTCAATACGGATTTGTCGCTTCAGATGACTCGAACACGAAAGATGATGATCAGAATAGAATTTCTCAATTAGAGGCGGTTGGTACGGACAGCTCTGAGAAGATGTCACTAGATGGAGGAACTAGTCCGTCTGATCTCAAAGGTAGAAAAGGAGCAGTGAAGAAAACAACCTCTGCTAGAAAGCTAGAGGAGAAGGTTGTTAAAGAGTCAATGCAACAGAAGAAAAGTGTGTCAAAAAGAGGAAAAAGACGGAGTATGACTTCACCCCAAGTTGAAGGTAAGCTTTTTCTTTGTGGATTATGGTTGCCAAGCTGATCATTTCATGCAACTGTTGTGTGCTTGGATTTGTCGACTTCACTTAAAGAAGGGTGTAACTGGAAAAGAAATCCTTGTGATTTAGAACTAGCTCCTACTATCTTTTGTAAAGACCGGAATAGGGTACATTTATTAAAAGAGTGCAAAATTAGATGTTTGTGGGTATTATAAGAAATTAATTTAAATTTGTTCTTTAATAATAATCAGATCAAATGTTGAGCAATCTTTTCTACCACATCTTTATATGGCATTGTAGATTCCGCTGATGTCTCTGGAGGGAAATCAGCCGAAGTTATCCCAACACCAGGCGTAGATAATGATTCTGAAGCACCCAGCATTGAACTTGACGACCAACCACTTTCAAAGTGGATTGGAGGGAAGAGGATACAATCTCCATCTACAGTTGATGGATCAAGTAAATTCATTAGTTTTCTCTGCTTCCTAGCTTTCACCTTTGAGGAAATTACAAAACAACACCTTCAAATACTTCATCCTAATAACACTCTGGCTTTCCGCAGGCCTATCTCCCGTGACTGCTGCTGTTAAGCAATTCACAGAAAGCAAGGAAAAACAGGGGGAAGATGATGCAGCAGTGCTGAAGGAGGCCACCGAAAATCCCCAAGAAACCCAAATCCAAATTTCAACCGAGCACCAAAACCTGCCATTTGCAAAGACCAGTTTGCTCTGGAAAACAATCTGGTCACTAAACGCCTTCTGTATGCTACCTCAAAACCCCCATTTCCAGCCTCTCGAAAGCATCAAGGAGAGCATGCGCGAAGGCCTTGCCATAGGCCTCATGGTCAACTTCTCGAGTGCTGTCGAGACAACCTGCAAGCTGCAGTTTGACGACCCAAAGAGCACCATGGATGACATACTCGAGACACTCGCTGAGCTGGAGTCGCATGGGTTTGAGGTTGAGGCCATACGGGCCCGCGTGGCGGGCCTTCTCGCTGTCAAGGATAAAGAGGCGGAGCTCGTGGGACGGGCTAAGGAGCTCGACTGTGAGATCTCGGGCCACCAGCTGGAGAAAGGCGAGTTGGAGAAGGAGATCGAGGAGCTGAAAGAGCAGGCGCGGAAGCTGCAGGAGAAGCTCTCGATGCTTGAGTCGGCTAAAGAAGGGAAGGAGAATGAGATTGTGTCTGCTGGGGCCCGTTTGAGGGAGGCCGAGCAGAGTCTGGAGAATCTGAAGCTTGAATTCGAAGGTATAGCTTCTTCTGCTATGGTGATGTAGGCAATGTGTGTGAAGTTTAGGGGTTCTAGCTAACTTTTGGGTCTTTCGTGCGTTTTGGTGAGTGTTTATAGCCTTGTAGGTAACTGACTGCGGGGCTGTATTTTGTGTATTCTGTATGTTGTCTTGTTTTTATGTTGGTCCGTTTGCTAGACTCTTGGATGACTATGTAGTATGTTAAGCACGAATTTAATTTAACTGAATTCTCGTTGACTAGTGAAATATTAAATTTGAAGGGTATGAATGAATGGAAATCGATCTGAATATGTGCTTGTAAATTATACATGGTTAGTTATTTGCTTTCTTCCACAGGCGTCCTGGAATTATCGATATATTTGATGATTCAATCTCGATTGATCTTGAATTGGAGTAACTCGATCCTATTGATGAGACTAATGTTTACGCTGAGTTCAGAGCCATTGGATCACACGCAAAGCTGTGCGGTTGTGTGCCGATCCAACGGCTGGGAACTCATTGTGCAGTGCCTATATCTCTTTTTTTTTGGTTATTAATAATATCTCTCTTTTTGTTTTTGTGATTTATTTACGATGCCAGTGATGCCACCAAATAAATAATTGCCGCGGGTTTTCTCTTGCGATGTCACTTTCTAGTGTTTTGAGAGTGAATCATGTTAATGCTATATAATAACAGAATATAACACTCACATTTAGTGAGTCCTACCAAAAATAAAAAAATTAAGTGAACTCACTCCATGTGAGTGTTATGTACAACTTTATAAAATTAAGTGGACTTACTCCATGTGAGTATTATGTACAACTTTATGTACATTTATTATATATACTTGTAGCATTTTTCATAACACAATGGATAACATAAAAATTGTTTACTATATAGATAACATAAAATTTGACATAATAAATATGCATCATAATCAGTGTTTTGAGACTCGAACCGGCCCGGCGGGTCGACCCGGAGCCGAAACCGGTCCGGGTGGAATATTTGGACCGGGCAACCAAGGACCCGGTCAAACCCGGTCAAAACCCGGCCGACCCGGGACATTGATCCGGCCGGGTCAATTCGGTTGACCCGGTCCATATATATTTTTTTATATTCTTTTTTATTTTTTTTTAAAATAAAAATATGTATATATGTTTATATGGTAAATATTTATCATGAGATACATATTATTAACACTTTAATATACAAATTTTTTACACAACATTTAATTTTGTTACTTTTATGTATATTTATATAACAAAAATACTCTATATATAATTTTAAAAATTTTAAAATTAATTATCCGGTTCAGCAATTGACCTGGTGACCCGACGGTTGAACCGGTAACCCGGTGACCTGATGATCTGTCCGGGTTGATCACCGGGCCGGGTTTAAAAATTATGATCATAATCTTAAAACCTGCATATTCAATTAATTTTAAAATCTATATTTTGTTTACACATACTTCATTTAGGTCAACCATTATGTCACTACAATCATTTGGAGAGACACACACGTCTCATGATTTATGCGTATGCCACAAGCTAAAACTTAAAAGTCTAAAACAAGCTAACAAACCCCCAAAATTTCATTTTCAAACTTATTTCCTTTTCCATCTCTATCCCTCAAAATGTTGACGTCTGTAGAGGGAAATTCCCCCAAAAACCCCTTCACAAAAGGCGCGAAAGTGGAAGCCAGCCTAGACGAGGACGGCTTTCGCGGCTCCTGGTACACCGCCACCGTCCTCCGGCCCCCGCCGAAGAGGATTTCCACCACCACCCGCATTCCCCTCCTCTTCGACACCCTCATCACCAAAGGCGACGGCGAGAAGGCCGCCGCCGAGCAGCCCCTCCGCGAGAGAGTCCGCCTCATCCTCGTCCGCCCCGTCCCGCCGCGCGAATCCAACCGGAGCTTCCGCGTCAGCGAGGACGTAGACGCCTTCCACAACGACGGATGGTGGGAGGGCGTCGTGGTCGCCGTCCTCGGCGAAGACCGATACTCCATATTCTTCCGATCCTCGCGCGAGCAGATCGATTTCCACGAATCTCAGCTCCGCCTCCACCGCGAGTGGGTTCACGGGGAATGGGTCCCGCCTCTGGAGGGTCACGCTGGCGATCCGGTGCAGCTGGCTCCACCCAAATAAGGATGTGCACCTGAAACAACTTGAGGTTCGTGTACATTTCTTTTCTTCCACCGATCGTCCTGATGTAACTTCATTTTTCCGCTTTAGCTGCAAAATTCTCGTGATCATTGCATGCAGTAATCAACACGCCTCTGTAGGTCTTGTGTTTTCTGTGCTCCAATCGTTAAATGCGGTGCTGACTGTGTACGTGTTTTGGATTCTGATTATCAGCTTAAGATTTCGGCTAGTTTGCTTTCCGCTTGTTGTTTTAATCGTTTACCTTTTTGGATTAGTTTCTGTGTAAAGATGTGTGCATATGATTTGTATGAATATTGGATGCTGCTATGTGCTTTGGATGCATTTGAAGTTACATTCGAAGGTGCAGTTGCCAGTAAGAAACTCAGTTTAAAGGTTTCGAGATTGAAATTTTTGGTTTCATGTGATATATTATCTTCCCCACACATTTGAAAATCTCACATTATGCAAATGCTAATTGTTTGTTCAGCCTTGAATTTATACCTTTGTTTGATAGCATGTAACGATTTTCAGTTTCTTCTTTTAAGTTTGAATACTAATATACTATACCAACGGTTTCAGAATTCTTTTCTCTGTATCCACAAATAACAACTGATCAAATTGTGTTCACAATTTGTTTCGAAAATTAGCTAACCGACTTCATCTCGTCAAGTAGGTTTATATGTTGATCTCCACCTGTAACTCTTGATAACTTATATCTTTAACGAATCTGGACATTCATTATTTTGTGTCTCTCAGAGTCCAGTCCTTTCATGAATATATCTGCTGTGTTCTAGCTATGAATGGATGCCGTGTGTTTTACCAGAACGTGAGTTTATCCCATTTTTAGTGACATTTTCAGCTTCTATTGCAATGTAAAGATACAATCCCAAAGATGTACATGTTAGTATGTTCCTTTTGCGGATCTTGACTTACGCGGTTGAATATACTTAGATAATTTCTGAGGATATCTGCTTCTTAAATATATAGTATTTGAGTTCTATAGTCGATCAACTTATGTGTAATTGCCTCGTAACTGTTCTTTTCATTTGTTCAAACAAGTATATGCCCATTTACATCTCAACGGCCTTACCCTATTGAATATTTATGCACTACTTGATTATTCATATACTACTTACTGTGACAAAACCACTTATTAAGTTGGAGTTGATATATGCCCGATTATTTTGCCTATTCATGCCCATATGCATACTACAAATGGTGAACTCATACGGTCATACCGTATCAAAATGTAATATTAAGACGTGTCAAAAGTTTTGAACCAATATTGTTTGAGTTAGTAGAGTGACATAATAGCCACGATTGAATATTCTATATATAGATTCAGCAAAATATTTAAAATCATGCCAACATATGAAGATACTACTACCCCTAACCCCATGTGTTTAACTATTCTCTACCAACTCTTGAAATTCCTTCCCGGGGTCAAGATTTCAGCCAACAAATTGTAGCTTTTTGTTTTTATTTTTAATTTATGGCTTTACATCAATGTGATTTTTTTTTTAATCTTTCCTGATTTATCTATATCTATTCGCTTGTTTATTGTGATATTTACATCTAGCCAAGCAATGCAAGTGCAACTCCTCTTCAATTAGATTTGTTTATAGAAATGAAAGACCATTGGCCTTGTTTGGTAATCAGCGGTTAGCTGTTAGCGGATTGCATTAGCTGTTTTGACCAGCGGATTGTGTTAGCTGTTTTGACCAGCTGATTGTATTAGCGGTTTGTAAAAAGTGTTTGGTAAAATTAGTTGTTTTTAATTAGCCTTTAACATGTAAAAATTATTTATAAGGACACCCAATTATTAAAAAAGAAATACACATCTATTCTAATTAAGCATGAATATTAGTTCAATTAAAAAGAGTACTAATTATTAATGATAAGAACATGTACATACTTAAATTTTTCACTTATTAATTTTACCGGTACATAGATTAAAATTACTGTTAATATGAGTAAGATAAATAAAATTAAAACTTGAAAAAGTGTATGCAAGACAATTAAAAAGTGATAAGTGCAATTCAAAAAAAAAAAAGCTGAAAAACAAATGGGGGCCTAAATGAGTACTAGCCAACATATTATCATTAGAATTTCGAACAAAGGTTAGTAATGGTTGATACTGTTGAAAACTGCACAGTACTCTTAATTTAGGCGGTTCGATTGGCTCACGTCCAATGAAAAGTTTAATGTCATGTCCTTTTGAGGTATAATTAAATGGAGAGGAGGCGCAGATTAATTGAGCTCACCTAACTCTTGTCAAAGTTTGATCCTTGAGTGGTAAAACTTTCATGTGACGGGGCACTCAACGTGTTGCCATATTCATGAGAAAGCAAATAATAAATTAGTGTTCCTAGTCCTTTTGAAAAGAGTTTCCCCTATTTTTGCTGTGATGATGGTCCATTGAGTTTGGTGAAGGAAGATGACACCACTACTTTTGAGATATTAATCTGTCTCCTTTTTCACTGTATGAAATGGGCCTACTGGGAGTTTGGGGAAGCCCATAAGTACAAAATAAACAACTGCTGTAAAAGTTGCTGATAAATAAATTTTTTACCAATATTCTCCTACTTCTATCACTTTTAATGCTGCCCCAAATATGTTTTAACCGTTCTATCAACACTATCCACGGGTGTGTGATCGCATGGTTAAAGCTCGTGGAGGTGAAAAAACAAAGCAAATATTTCAAGGTGTTCTTTCCCAACTCAATGTAAATAGGAGGACATACTTGTTAAAAATATACGTATCTTTGATATACAAAACATGATGCTATATAAAATTACATTTGATTGAGGATGATAAAATCAGTCTTGTGAACCTTGTATTGCTCCCCCT